AAAAAAAAGTAAAATAGAGGGCTGGGCATAGTGGCTCATGCCTGTAATCCCAGCACTTTGGGAGGCTGAGGTGGGTGGACCATTTGAGGTCAGGAGTTTGAGACTAACCTGGCCAACACGGTGAAACCCCGCCTCTACGAAAAATATAAAAATTAGCTAGGCATGGTGGCGGGCACCTGCAGTCCCAGTGACTCAGGAAGCTAAGGCAAGAGAATCACTTGATCCCAAGGGGTGGAGGTTGCAGTGAGCCAAGATCACACTACTGCACTCCAGCCTGGGCAACAGAGCAAGACACCGTCTCAAAAACAAAAACAAAAAAAGTCAAATAGAACTTTAAACTTGAATCATTTACATCTTTACCTTGTAAAATGTAAAACTACTTTTTTACCCAAGACTTAAAATATCTAATTATGTACCTTCTACTTTAAAAATGAAAAATGTTTTGAGTATCAAACAGTATATTATCTACCTTGTAGATAGCATCTTCATCTAACACTGCCAGTGTGTTAGCAATTCTTAACTGACCTCAAACTAGAAGAAAAGCTGCTCCTAGGTTGTTTTTCTGTAATAAGTCAAGACAAATTTGGCATTAGACTTTTTCTAGAAATAGCATTCATATTACATTGATATAATAGTAACATCTTAGGCCGGGCGTGGTGGCCTATGCCTGTAATCCCAGCACTTTGGGAGGCTGAGACGGGCAGATCACGAGGTCAGGAGATCGAGACCATCCTGGCCAACATGGTGAAACCCTGTCTCTACTAAAAATACAAAAAATTAGCCAGGTGTGGTGGCACGTGCCTGTAGTCCTAGCTACTCAGGAGGCTGAGGCAGGAGAATCGCTTGAACCTGGGAGGCGGAGGTTGCAGTGAGCTGAGATAGCGCCATTGCACTCCAGCCTGGGTGACAGAGCAAGACTCTATCTCAAAAAAAAAAGTAACATCTTGTTTTAGGTTAATGAATTCCTATTAGAAAGCAGCACTTTGGAACAGTTTTTAGTGACACAAATTGAATTCTATCATTATAGTCCTTTGACCTGCCTTAATTCCAGGGTCATCTGTATTCTAGTTTAAGGAATGACTATTAGCCTAACCTAGAAACAACTAAAAATTGTACTAATATAGGTAACCCCAATTTAACTCTAATAGTGACGAAAGTCATAACCGTCACCATTAAAAACAGCCATATTTCATATCTTTGACACTAGTCTATTTACAATATATA